GAGAGAGAGAGAGAGAGAGAGAGAGAGAGAGAGAGAGAGAGGACGACAGTATTTTTATATTATACTTTTGTTCTGTACTTTTCTCTTAGGCATGATGTACTGGGTTCGTGAGGATAATGTGTTGAAACAAGAAGGTCTTGCTGTCCGGAGAAAAGACCCACTATTGCTGACAGGTAGACCGAGTTTTGTGACCCAGTGTCGTGAGATTTACTTAACTTAGAATTATTTCGCAAAGTTATGTCTGCTCAGTTCCTAGTTTTGAGGAATTTTTCGTCACAACTTCTAAGTTCCACAACATGTAAAGCGTGGCCCCTCCCAGCCTTATATTTTTTCGACTACCAAGTACCACATACTCGAAATGAGTGTTTCTTTCCGGTGTCAACATGCACTTTGACATAGACAAAGCGAACCACGTGAGTCGACTTATGCAAGTGAGATTTGAGTTTATAGTGGGTGCACTTATATAAGTGAAATTTGATGTCATAGTGAGTAAAGTAAAGCTGTTCCCGCATCTGATCCGGACATTGGGGATTGCCTTGTTAGTGAGACAACTTCCTGGGCCTTCGACATATTGTGGTAGGGGTGGCTAGTTCCTTTACCGCCGCCTTTACCTCCCCAGCTCGAAGTCAAGTGCCCATTACTGCTGGGTGAGCAGGAAGGGGCGAAAAAAAATCTGTGTCCGAACCGAGGCTCGAACCGGGACTTTCCGCTTCGGAGACGAGCGTACTAATCGCTCCGACGCTACACCCTCGTCAAAGTGAGTAGATTGATGTAAATGAGATTTGATGTTATAGTGAGCAGATTTTTGTAAGTGGGATTTTATGTTATAGCGTGTAGATATGTAGATCTAAGTGAGATTTGATGTTATAGGGAGTAGACTTTGTCGCTGGCCACTTCAACGTTGTGCTGTAGTTGTTGGGGGTTTTTTTTTTCTTTTTTTTCTGGTTAAGTGTTCTACGGCGCTCGCAGCTGCATATGAGGTCATATGAGCCTGCGAGACAAATTAAACATTTTCGTTTGACAAGAAATTTTTAATTTTGTCTTGGTGATGGAAAGCCCATAAGAGGGGGCAAAGGAGGTGAGGGGATTGAGGACAGAAAGTGGAGACAAAATCAGACAACAGAACATTGTTAGAGAGCAGGAAAGGAGGTGAATGGAGAAAATTTTAGAGAAGAAAATGTTTCTTCTTTTCTTCGCCATCCGGATTCGAATCCGGGACCTATTGTATGAGAAGTGAACATCATAGCCACTGGACCACGAGAGCCACCAGTGCTGTGGTTGTGTTTTCTAGTGTCTTCACTAACTTGTTTCCTTGCACATGTTGGCCATTTTTTGTTTGTTCCTTCTTTGTCATTCCTTCTCATTCTGTCGTTCTCACTGTCGTTATTGTGTAGGAATACTCACTTTGTTCTTTTCCGCTCTATTTCTTTCTTCCTCTTTATCGTTCTTTCCCATTTTATCGCTCATTCCCTCTCTATCGTTCACTCACTCCCTTACCCCCACCCCTCTCTCTCTCTCTCCACACACACACACACACACACACACACACACACTCACACACACACTATCGCCCCCCTCCTTCTATTGTTCTCTCTACCACCCCGTCCCAAACTACACTATTGTTTTCACCCTTTCTGTCGTTCTCACCTCTCTGTCATTCCTTACTTCTATCGTTCTATCCCTCTCTATCTCTATTATTGTCTCTCACTGTTTCGTTCCCCCCCTATCTATCCAATCCTCTCCCGTTATCCCCATAATACTGTCTATCATTCTCTCTCTCTCTCTCTCTCTCTCTCTCTCTCTCTCTCTCTGT